GCCCCACAACTGACCAAAAAAAAAAAAAAAAAAAACCCTAACAGCAGACACTGGAGGAAGCGGTCCATACAGTGCTTAAAAACTATAATTATTTATATAAAACACCCCTCCTATACTGTTAGTAGTGCCCTAGAAGGCTGTATTCTGTTACCTGCATATTTTTCTCGGACAGATTCATCCATGGACCAGAAACAATGATCATAAGCAAACACCTGTTGAAAAGTGAGAAAGTCAGTATGCAAAAGGAGCATGTATGCTAACGTGATATTATAATGTCAGGGCACTCAGAATTGCTCACAATAGTGACAAAACAATATGCAGAACGTAACTATGTTATACCTAAATACAGTTAAAGAGCTTATTTTTGTTTGGGGAAAGTTTCTTGTGTATATGTCCTGGTGCTGGGCTTGAGCTCAGAGCACTGGTGCTCTTACTAAGCTTTTTCTATTCACTGTTTCTGATACTATACCACTTGAGCCACCAGTTCCACCAGCTTTTTGCTGGTTAACTGTGTCTCAATTTGTCTGCCCAGGTTGGCTTTGAACCATGATGCTCAGATCTCACCTTCCTAAGACTCTAGGACTATAGGTGAATCACCACACTTAGCACAAAATTAACATTTTCATGGTGATATTGGTGATCTTTTATTATTGCATAAATTTTCTGCTTTGACTTTGTAAACAAAGAAAATGAATATTTCTTTTTTTTTGGTAGGTAGGGCTTGAACTCTGGGCTTGGGCGCTGTCCCTCAGCTCTTCAGCTCAAGGCAAGCACTCTACCAGTTGAGCCACAGCACCACTTCTGGTTTTCTAGTGCTTTACTGGAAATAGGAGTCTCACGGACTTTCCTGCCTGGGCTGGCTTTGAACCGTGATCCTCACATCTCAGCCTCCTAAGTAGCTAGGATTACAGGCGTGAGCCACCGGGGCCTGGCTTGAAGATGTTTTTAAATAATAAAAAGATGCTCACTACCGCATGCCAAGAGTAACTACAAAATAGTAGATTATTTAAACAATAATATACATAAGTTCATCATTTAGAAGTACGTAAGACTTTAATGAGAAAATGATCACATTGGTGAAAAGGTGTTGGCTGTCTGGATATGACTACACATGTACACAAAAATATATGCATCAAACATAAGAAGAAAATGTGTGAAGGAGAAAATTGGGAAAGCACTGGAGGATGAACAATACCAAAACACAGTGTATATCTGTAAAGGAAGATAGCAAAATGAAATTCACCAAAGGTGCTGAGTGACAGGATAATGAGGTGGGAAAGTAAGAGTAAATAAGGGTCAATCTGTATGCACTACTGCATATTCAAGTGTGAGACGCCATATTGAAACCTCTTTGAACAAACAAGAAAAAAAAAAGGTTAAAAAAATCAATGGAAATTCCAGAAATGTAAGACGGGCCTTGTCTGGGGTGTGGGTCTCAGGGAGTCTCAGTGGGAGAAGGGCAGGGCAGGTGAAGAAGGTGAAGGAGGGTAAATGTGTGAACGGCACAGTGAAGCTTGTGGAGATTTGTTCAGGAGAAAGGAGGAGAGGAGGGAAAATGACAGGCATAGGAACTGGGGGACCAGCGTCTTGTCAATCTGATAAGGTGCATTTTTGGGGGGGGGTCCGGTCGTGGGGCCTGAACTCTGGGCCTGGGCGCTGTCCCTCAGCTCTTCAGCTCAAGGCTAGTGCTCTACCACTTGAGCCACAGCGCCACTTCCGGCTTTTTTTTCCTTTTTGCGTATGTGGTGCTGAGGAATCGAACCCAGGGCCTCAGGCATGCAAGGCAAGCGCACTACCACTGAGCCACCTTCCCAGCCCTGATAAGGTGCATTTATGCGTGTATGGACATCGCAAAATAAAGCCCCTGATGCTAATAAAAATGTACAAAAAAAAAAAAATCACCAGGTGCTGGTGGCCCATGCCTGTCATCCTAGCTACTCATGAGGCTGAGATCTGAGGATCACAGTTCAAAGCCAGCCTGGGCAGAAAAGTCCATGAGACTCTTATCTCCAATTAACCACCAGAAAACTGGAAGTGGCACTGTGGCTCCAGTGGTAGAGCACTCGCCTTGAGCTGAACACTGAGGGACAGCGCCTAGACCCAGAGTTCAAGACCCACACAACTGAACAAAAAATTTTTTAAAAGTACAAAAATAAAAACAGAAAAATGGGATCAAACCAATTATTTCTATTTTTAATCTTTTGCTTTTTACCAAAATATGAATTAGTTCTTTTGCAATTTTTACTTTACTAATTATATCTTTCATCTTCTTTGGATTTCTAAATGGTTTATCCATTTGTTCATGTTTTATAATTAATTTTAAGTATGAATGTTTAAAATTCACCCTAGTTCACCATTCAAACTCTCCCAGTCACAGACTTTGCTGCTGGCCTTCCTGATAATGGTTTCCATGGGGGGGGGGGGAGATTGCTTTTTTGTATGTTTGTTGAGGTGTGAACTCAGGGTCTCCAACACCTACTAGACAGATGCTCTACTACTTGAGCCATGGCTCCAGCCTTCTTTCAATGATTTTGCACACAGAGTCTTGTTTCTTGCCCAGGGTGGCCTTTGACCAAGATCACCCTACCCTGCCTCCCACTTAGCTGGGATTATGGGTATGAGCCACCTCACTGAGCTTGTATCTTTTTTCGTTAACTTCAACTAATCCTTCATTGGGAGTATTTGTGGTTTACACGAATGTGTTTCCCCTCTCCCAATAGCCCCTTTACATGGCGGCTTACGCTGCCATTTCCAGCGCTGGTATTCCCAGGCCCAGTGTCTCTCCTCCCTCCTACTAACCCGGCCTCAGCTCAGAGGCGGTGGCCAAGACTGTCTCAGCGTTTTTAAGCCTTCAGTCAAGTAGGCACCTCACCCACATCAGTTTTCCCATGGTGAGCAACTGTACAACAGGGCTCTGTTGAACGTCAATCATTTTTGGAGAACCTGTGCCTAATTCCAAAGCCCAGTAGGCTCTCTCAGCTCGGCTTACTGGAAGTTTTTGGAGGGACTCTGAGTGCTGTTTGTATGAAGGCCTGGTTTTGGTATTTTAAGATACTTGAACTGTCCTTGTTCTGTTCTGTATTTAGCACTGCCACAGTCCATGTTTCTATGTGAACTCACAAGACTATCTGGACCAGAAGTACAAAAGTTAACTTTTGTAAGCAAAGAAATTACATTATGACGGTGAACTGTAGGCCTGTCAAAATCATTTCCCCACCACTTCCTAAAATTAGTTCAAAATGAAGTGGGGAAAAGGCCCAAAGGGAAGGCGACGGGGAGGAGAGCAAGTTTTGCTTAAGCAACATTGTTCATGCCTGAATCAAAATTGAAATAAACATAAAAATGAAAGTTGCCATGAGACTGATGAGCTCCTGGGGATGGGATGAGCTCCCTGGGAAATTGAGTTCAAGCCCTGCATTTGAAGGTGCCAGCAAAGGACACAGGAGTCCTAGGAGGATCCAGGATGCCAGCTAAAGGGGGCAGGGGAGGATCCCGTCAGCACCCAAGAAGATGAGAGCTCACATGCATCTGAGCAGGAAGGATGGGAGTTCCCAGGTCTTCATGCACAGGAGAAAGTAGGGGAGACACTGGCTCCCCGTGTGCTCCTCAGCAGTGAGGCCAGAATTTTGGAAAGCACGGACAAATCCCACAAAGAGTCAGGAGCCCCACAGCCCCGAAAACCCATGCACAGACACAGTCCTGGGGTACCATTGTTCACCTTTCACCTTTCCCAGAGCTGAGTATCAATAAATCCACCCACAGTGCTGGCTCACTAGGAATGAGTCTCAGATTCACAGGAAAGCAGGAGGAAGAGATGGAAGACAGTCACAAGGAACTGTGCATCATGATGCACAAACTCCATTTGCCACCCACCATGTGGAATAACTGTCATAGAGTAGCATTACACAAAATGCAATGTCCAAATTAACTTGCTTCTGTTCTAGCTCTCAGCTCTCATCCATCGTTTAATTCTTTCAACAAGCTAAGCAGAAAGTATCCTGATTCTTTTTTTTCAAGGTAAGCTGTTGTTCAACGCCTCATGACATGTGTAAATGTATCAAACACCGACTTCTACCTGGCACTCTCCTCTGTTAGTATTGGGTTTTATCCTTGATGAAGAATCTGATGGAGGCGCCGGTGGCTCACGCCTGTAATCCTAGCTACTCAGGAGGCTGAGATCAGAGGATCATGGTTCAAAGCCAGCTCAGGCAGAAAGGTCCAGGAGACTCATCTCCAATTAACCACTAGCAAAGCAGAAGTGGTGCTGTGCCTCAAGCAGTAGAGTGCTCTCCTTGAGCTGAAGAGTGCAGGATAGTGCTCAAGCCCAGAGTTCAAGCCCCACAACTGACAAAAAAAAAAAAAAAAAAAAGAATCTGAAAGTTGACTTCCAGATTCTTTATCAATCACATTATTCTTGATCTCATTAGAAAAGCTATCACTGAAATAATGGTAGCAATACCCTGGGCCATGAGGAGGCCTAGTTCAAAGGAAACTATATAAAAAAGGTAAAAAGCCACAGCTGGAAGAGAAGTGTGATTTTAAACTCAGAGCTTAAACTGGCAGTGAGGCTCAAAAGCCCACACTGCACAACTAGGCTACATTAGCCCTATTCCCCAGTCACCCAAATCACAGCAATCCCTTACCCGCAGGAGACACATCCAAGACCCTCCACCGGTGCCAGAAACCACAAATGGAACCCAAGTCTATACCTGCCATGCTTCCCTATGCATTCGACCTATAATAAAGTTAACTTATAAAGTAGGCACAGTAGGAGATGAACAAAAACTAATAGTAAAGTTGAACAATTATACCATATACCATACCATAACAGAAAAGTTATGTGGCTGTGGTCCCCTCCCCCACCCATTCCCTTTTAGCTCAAATTATAAACTCAGTGTTGCCTAGCTTCTCCTCCTGTATGTGACAGCGCCACAGCTCAGCTCAGAGCTGGGAAGTATTAAACACTTACTGTGTATTTACTGAAATAAAAATTCAATGATCCTCATGAAGTTTTCACAGCTCTTTAAATTACTCTAGTACCTTCCAGGCAATGGGTTCAAGTCAAGCCCATCTTTTTCTAAATAAACATTATTCCTTTACATTAAAAAATGTTTTTGTCAGGAGAAAGAAATATACATTCACATTAACAAACAACACAGAAGCTTTTATAAAGTAAAAAATGTCTACCAAGTACATCCTATTCCCTAG